CGGGCCCTGCACTCTGGCGCGCATGGCGATGCGCAGCGCGCTGGCCCGCGTGGTGGACTCGACCTCGGAGCTGGTCAGCGTAGAGCAGACGCTGCTGGGGCCCCTCCAACAGGAGCGGTCTTTTCCCATCCACCTGAAGGTGAGTCCGCGCCCCGCCGCCCCTTTGAGCGCTCAGGGCGGGGCTGCAGGGCCTCCATGGAATGGGGTGGGGCCGGGGAACCCTAGAGGGGCTGCCCACTGCTGTTCAGCCCAGGAGGAGAGAGAGAGAGAGAGAGAGGAGGAGAAGCGACAGTCTAGGGGACTCCGCATCCCCACCCGGGGCCCGCCTGATTGCAGAACTCGGACGCAGGCGAGGCCTTGCCAAAATCTTCCTTTGCAACCCCTTCATTTCACATAAATCAGCTTGCTGCTGTAGCTGAAGGCTTTTTCCACATGTGCAACTTCTAGGGATGGAGGGCAGCTCCCCTACCCTCCTTCCAAACCTTTCCTTCAGAGCCTTAAATATAAAGTCATCTTTGCCTTTTGCAAGGTGAATTCATCTACATTTATTTAAAGTTCCTTCACTTTCATGAATCACAATTATTATTTCTTTTCATGAATCTAGTTCCCCAAAGAGCACACAGGCCTTACCGAGTCAACCTAAATGCTCGTAAAGCCAGGTGAAGGGTGGAAGGTGCAAGGATGGATCCCAGGTGTTAAAGTGTGACTACTAAGAGGAACTCCTGCTAAGGTACCGGGCTCCTATTCAGAAGTCACAGGTTCCTCTTGTACCAAATGGTGTTAGCCAGTTTAGTTAGGAAAGAGCTGAGTGGGATCCTTGAAATGGGAGAGCTGAGGTCTAGTCTTGACCTTTCCACTAACCGGTATAACTGGTTTAAGGTCACAAATCTCTTTGAGACCTGGCTTTTAAATCCTGTCCAGAAACATAGCTGCATTAATCCAGTCTAGAGAAGGAAGTAGGGAAGGGTGTTGGGAAAGCTTGAGCACTCCTCAAGGGAGTTGCTGTTCTTGCTCTACAAAGCAAGGTTCAGAAAAATTACTACATTTTAAGTTGCATTATACGCTATAAAATGTGTATTTAAAGTCAAACATAATAAAGCATATTATGCACACAAATAAGAATTGTTCTTTCCACCAGGGTTTCTGTGCACCATTGACATTTTGTGCTGGCCAATTCTTTGTTGTAATGTAGGATGCTTTACAAATCCCTGGCCTTGGGCTATTGGATGCTGGGCCAGTATTTCCCCACCCCAAGTTGATACAACCAGAAATGTCCCCAGACATTGTCAGTGAGGGTGATGGTGGAGCCAGATGCCAACAATGAGACCACATGCAGGTGAGAAGCATTTCTGCAATCACCTTAGGAAGTTAAAAAATGAGACTGCATTTTGCCAGTGGCCTCTAGGGTAGGATGGATTTTTGTTACTGATGTTGCCAAGACACTTAAAGCCCTATCCAATAAGCTATAGCACACCACTGAATGTAAATCACATCCTAATTTCATGGCATTTTTTTTAAATGTGAGAAAATGTGCATCTTGGAATTGATGAAATATGAAATCATCTGCAACTAGGAGCATATCCAGGGCATAGATTCATTGACAAAAAGAGAGTGAATAAACTGTTTTACCTTGGGTGAACATGGAAGGGTTTTTTGGAAAAAGAAACTCTTTAAAAGAAATGTTTTCTCTCCAGATATTAAAGGGAAGACATTTCAGAATGTGATCTAAGGTCAAGCAGCATTGAAATGGCCTGGGGCTTTGGGTGAATTGTAATTTGTTCAGTATGGCAGATGGCAAAAAATAGCGCTGGAGACTTAAGTGTGGGCCGGATGGGGAAAGGCCTGCATGGCATGCTGAGAACCTTGGCTTGTCCTGCAAGCCCTGAGTAGAAAAGCCACAGAAACCCAGATGAATCACAGAAAACAAGGTTTCAGTTTGATCTGACCATTGCTTGAGGGCCTGACTCAATTCCTTGGCAAAGTAAATCCCATGATCTCTGTCAAGGAGGCAGGCTCCTAATAATCATTATAGCTGAAACTATGCCATTAGAGCTTAATGTAGTAGTCACTTATATGTGGTGTTCCCTTTAACTAGTTCTAATTGACTCTCGGTCTTAAACACTTTCTACCCTTCTTCAGGCTTTCTTCATCTAAATCTATACCTCTCACTTCTTTTGTTAGAAAATTGAGCCCATCTGACATAAACTGTCTCACTCTTTCCCAACTGTTGCATTTCCATTCATCTTTATTCTTGAAATGAATGAATAAATAAACACCTCTCCCTCCACTTGCACTGTCTCTCCTAAGCAGGGAAGCAAATCCTTCTCCTCCCCTACACATTTTTTTCTATCCATCCTTTCCTTTCTCTTTATGCAGTAGTCTTCCTTTATCCTTGGGAAATATATTCCAAGAACCCCAATGGATAGCTGAGGATACTGCTAAACCTTCTGCAGTGCTACCTCAGTCCAACCATTTCTGTTGCAAACAGAATCATGGAATGAATTCTTTGACCAAAATTGTGGAAAGAATTAAGTTTGTGAACTGAGATACCACTGTATATACTACATTTAGTCTTATGAGTACTTACCTATGATAAGATTTATCTTATAAATTAGGCCCAGTAAGAGATTAATAAATAATTACTAATAATAAAATAGACAAGTATAACAGTATACCCATAATATTTACATGAATGTGGTCTCTGTCTCTCAAAATATCTAATTGTGCTGTACTCACCCTTCTCATGATGATGTGAAATGATTCACATCCTGTATGATGAGATCAGGCTAGATGAATGCTTTAGGCATTGTGATATTATATTTTGCTATTAGAAAAATGTTTTTTGAACACAAGCACTACCTTATTTTGGCAGCCAATGTGATAACCAAGATGGTTCCTCAGTGACTAGCAGGGGGTATAAAATGTCCAGCATGAACCACTGGATAGGAAAATGATTCATGTCCTGGATGGGATGGAGTTGACAGTGCAAGATATAATATTGGGCTGGGGATTTAGCTCAGTGGTACCTCTCCCTCACAAGCACAAGGTCCCGAGTTTAATCCCTGCTGCAAAAAATGAAACAAAACCAAAAAAAACAACAAAAATTTTTTTTCATCATATTACTGAGAACCATGCGTAGTTTAAAACTCATGAATTATTTATTTCTGGAGTTTTCCATTTAATATCTTCAGACCATGGTTGAACACAAATAAATGGAAGTGGGAAAGTATAAGGGACACTGCTGTATTTTCTATGATTCCTCTCAGTTCATAAAAAGGCTCAAAGCTTTCTTTTCCACCCATCCATTTGAGTTATGGTCCTTTCCTTTCTTGTCTTGCACAAGCTTTGCAGACTTCTAGATGTGTTGCTGCTGCTTTCTAGAAGAGTCTAGAGTGCTCATTAGCAGAAGGGATCCTCAGCAGTTCTTCTGGAGTCTGCTGTCCACTTGCAGTGGAGCAACAAATCTCAGGGCTGCTAACAGCTAGGGCTTTCAATAGGGAGAGAAGCAGGGAGAAGCCAGCATCTGTTAATCTATGTGGTGTGCTGTTTGGGGGAAAGATAGTATCTCCATTTGGCTTATTAATTAATGATTATGAAGTACTTAGACTCAAGAACTCCAGCTCTCTCTGGGCTGGTTATGCAGACACAGCTTCATTAATTTAATGTTAATTAAAATGATTTGGAAGGGTGTTTTATATAGTTTTATATTAAGAACATGCAAAGTGGTTTTCTACAAGAGAATGGTTTCAGGAGGAAGTTTGCTCGTGGAAGTAACACTTGTGTATTACTTAGAAGCATGTGGAAACCTCTCTAACATCTGTTCTCTTTGGTGGTGTTACTACAGATGGTAGGAGGGAAATTCATTTGAACTAGAGGTTATGGCCCAGATGCAGGCAATAAGGATCCTGCAACGGAGCCAACACAGTACAGCAATCTAGTTCCACTACACATTCCAAACCTGCTCTGTCTCTTCCTGCTGCAGGCAAGTTACTTAGCTTCTAGTGCTTCATTCTCCTCATTTGTAAAGTGGAGATGGTGGTATCTAAACTAAAGAATTGCTGAGATAATGCACAGAAAGTCTTAGCCTCGGCTTCCTATAGTAAGTATCCATATATTTAAGCTATTATCATCATTATTATTGCTATTAATAGGTAATTGTCTCATGAATTTTTATTTATTATTTTTTAAGTTCCATTCTTTTTTTGTGTGTACCGGGGATTGAACTCGGGTCCTTGCACTTGCAAGGCAGGCCACCGAAGCCCTGAGCTAAATCCCCGGCCCCTAAAGTTCCATCTTTGATACTGATAAATTCTAAGAACTCTGTGTTTCCTTTTTCTTCAGAGATTGGTAAAATGTGAGTTAAGATGACAAAAAGTGACTTCAAGAAGCTTCTTCTCCAAACAGCGATTAGTCTTTAGCCCTATGATTGACTTTATGTGTCATAGTTGAGTAAGTCACTAAACAAACACCTTGATGGCAGAGAATATGAAATTTTCAAGTGTGAAAGTAGAGATAACCACAGCACAGTAGAAACTAACATTTTTATAATACTTTACTCTTTAATTGAAAATTTCAACACTTAATACTCTTTGTGAACATTTACAAATATCAAACACATGCATGAAAACGTGAAATAAATTTCTTCATGGAGGACAAAAAATGATTAACAATAGTGGCTCTTGATGAATTGAGGCATAAATTAAGTATCAAACAGTTTGGCAAATATTTATTAGAGGGCCAGGGATTTAGTGCAGTAGTTCCACTGCCTGCCTTGCAAGCACAAGGTCTAAGTTCAACCTCTGGTACAAAAACAAACAAACAAACAAGAAAAAAAGATTTAATAGATATGGAAACTGAGGCTTAGAAGAATAGAGGACTTTGCAGCTAGGATGTGACGAGACTTATTTCACTCCTTCTATGTCACATGTCAGGTCACAGGGTGTTTATTATAAATATCCTGCTGAAATAATATACATGACAGTACATGGTAGATAAGCCACAGGCGTACATACTGTGCACTGCATGTTGCTTTCACTGTGATAGTTGCATCACAAATTATGTATATTAGCTCAGCTGCTATATCAAAACATCATATATTGAGTGGCTTAGACAACAGGTATTTATTTTCTTACTGTTCCA